GAAGTAAAACACAGTAGGAAGAATAAATACATAAAAATAGCATGCATTTTTGTAAAGGCAGTGTGTGTGTGTGTGTGTGTGTGTGTGTGTGTGTGTGTGTGTGTGTGTGTGTGTGTGGTTTATTTGCAGTTCTACTCAATTATCAAATACAAAATGTGCCTATATACTGTATGTAGACAAGAAATGATTTCTTAGAATCTGTTCTTGCATTGGTTCTCACTGAGAAAACATACCTTTATTGATTATGCCATTCATATATATGTATCTTCCTCTCAGTACCTGCATGTGAGAGCTGGTCATCATACCCATAATAGAGGGGTTTTTGCCAAGTGTAGGTTATTGTAAGTTATTTTCAGCCTAGCTCAAGCTAACTGCAAGCTAATCCCATGTATAGTTAGAATCAATAGTATGACGGAAAATATTTTGCTTTACCATAACACACTGATTCTCAAAATGTGGGCATGCCCTATCAGTATCAGCATCAGTGTGAACCTGTTAGCAATGCAGATTCCAAAGTCTGTCTCAGACTCCTACATGTGAAACTGTCTGGGATAGGATGGTGATGGTTCCGATAAGCAGAAACTCAAGCTTCCCAGTATTTACAGAATATGCCATGATGGATATATTTATTGGAATGACTGCCTCCCCCCACTTTCTTGGTCTGCTTTAGCAGGCTGGTTCTATCAGACAGCATTCTCTCAGTTTTAGCTGCAGTAGGCACCCTGGTGGACTCAAGAGAACATGTTCAAGGACAAGCAGTTCTGTCTCTCCTGCTGCTGCCATCACTCCTCTGGCAGTAATTCAGAGCAGGAATTTGCTAATGCTCCACTTTCCAGTTGTGCAGAAGATGACAGGGTTGGGATACCCTCTCCCCTTGTAACTGAAGCAGCCATATGGGGACAATTCTGGTGCCTGCCCTTGTCCCAGTATAATTAATATCAGTCCCTTATACTCTTTGAAATACTTTGGTTTTGATGGTAAATTAGATTATAGCAAATATAAATCGTAAGAAAATTCTGGCAACTATTGAAAATGTGTCAAAGAATGCTTCAATGAGAAAAACATATTTAGGACACAAAAACGGAAGTACAGTGAGTAAGCAAGCTAGAGCTAGAGATTGGTGTGGGATAGCCTTCTCAGGCAAGAAAACTTAGAGATGGGATGTTCCAGGGGAAAAATAAATGACTGACATGAAGTGGTAGATTACCATTTGGGCAGCTAAAGCAGTCTGGAGGATTCAATCCTTAGTTTGGTAGTAGAATTAATAGTTAAAGCCAACAGTGTGAGTAGCAATTGGTGGTCAAGTATCCAGAAGTGATACCAGGGAATTGTACTGTTATGAATGCCCCAAATGATGTGGCATTTGAGATTGTTTGGATGATTATTTGAAAGAAGGCTGCTTTAACTTTATTTCCTTTTTGTGGTGGTTCTATGTGTATAAAATGTTAACTACTCAACTTCCCATTGATTCTGGGCAGTATTCCAATGAAGTGATCATTGAGTCACATATCAGACTAATTTCATTCAATTTTGTCTCAGTTATTCAAATTAAGTTGAATATCCCAATTATTCAGATTCACTAATTTATGCTTTTATATTATCAGAATAATAATGGTAGGCTTTTGGGATTCATCACCTGTGGAGGCATAATTATAAAAATACATAGCTAATATGTTATGGTACTCTTTTTAATATTAATATGAACACATTCTAGCATAAAATGTTTAAATGGGAATTTTAATCATTTTTTATGGATAAGATTATGCATTTTAGTTAGTTTATGGACTTTGTAAATAGTTTACAGAGTATAAATTGTATGACAAAAATAATTTGAAGATGAATATTATTACATACCAATAAGGAAGGCATATTTGAATTCACATAATAGTATATTTTTTGCATTTTTGGGTTGTTGTACATCAACAATGAGTATGTCTGTGAGAAAGCTTAACAGGCTTTGTCTATAGCATGGTTTGTAAACTGAAGCCTTCTGTTACTGAATTCACTGTGTATATTAAAGCTGGCTATAAAACCTTCTGTTTCTATCTTTCCTTTCTGTTTTTCAGCAGCGTTAATGTGTTTCCTCTTATCCCTTGTCCAGTTGTCAAACAATAACCTTCATTGTTCAATTAACGGTTGCATTTCCCTATTAACATATGTTATACTTCAGAGTTGATTGCCTGGAAAAAATGAAACATAGCAATCCTCTCCCTTGCACTTTGTTTAAATAATACATAATAATTAAAATACTGATTGTGCATTTATTAAATAGTATATGAGGGTAGATAAAAATTAATACTTTGTCTTAATTTTCAAAACAAAGTCTCATACACATAACTAACTGAAAGGTATTTGTAGTTGTCATCTGTAGTAACCCCACATGGTGGTGCCAATCTATAGTTAACTGGGTTTGTTTGTGCCACATGTTGAGGGGCCATTTGTAGGAACCCATCTTTGGGGGGCTTCAGTCATATTCAGCCTACTCGCCTGGTTTGTACCCGAGAAGGGGAGTGTGGATTGAGAAAATGGCAGGTAAAAATACTAAGAAAAGATAGAAACACATGATAGAATCAGAAGGGCAATCCAGTGAATACTGACCACCCCAAGTTTATTCTTCAACATTCTTATATAGCCCAAACAAAAAGGGGAAAATGGCAAAAGACTTCTTTATCATGATACAAGGAACAAACAGACTTTCTTCCTTAATTCTCCAAACATTTAGTAACCATGCCTTAGATTTTAAATCTATTGTTATCTAGCCTTGAGGACTGAGAGTAACCACACTTTAGACCAAATCTCTTGTTTTATGGGTAAGACATCCACACCTTAGACCAAACATCATTCAGTAGCCACACCCTAGACCTTTTGCTATTATGACTTTAACTTTGGAAAAGTAAGGATACTTTTGAACTCTCTCACCTTAAGTCAAGATGAAGCAGAGCCATTTTTATGGGCCCTGACAATTCTTCCTTCCAAATTTAATTAACTGATATCTGTGCTTCGGCCACAGGACAGATGATTTTGTCTGTCTTAGTTTGTCTTCCTTCACCTTCCAACCTTACCCATCATTGAAACACACATTTTGTCATGTGTGACCTGTCTTGGGTCACCTGGAGGCAAAAAGATCTTACACATCTTTGACTGCCCACCTCTGTAATAAAAAAAAGTTAGGGAATAGTGTGTAGCTTGATCCCATGTGCCTCTGAGCCAACTTTTCATGGAAAATTCACAAGTAAGCCTGATACTGCTAAGCAATATGTATGCTTTTATGGCTACAATGTCTCCTATTAAAGGAATAAAGGATGATCAAAATGAAATGGCCTTTTTAAATTGGTCTAGAATGTCTCCAGTAGTTTTAGCTGCATCAAAATATAAATCTGCCTTACATTGTATCTAACAATTCATTAGGATCATGTCAATAGAACTCACATTACAGGTATTTAGCCAAGTTCCTTTATTTATTTATTTATTTATTTATTTATTTATTTTGTATACAACATTCTGCTTCCATGTATATCTGCACACCAGAAGAGGGCACCAGATCTCATAAGGGATGTTTGTGAGCCACCATGTGGTTGCTGGGAATTGAACTCAGGATCCCTGGAAGAGCAGTCGGTGCTCTTAAGCTCTGAGCCATTTCTCCAGCCCCCGCCAAGTTCCTTTATAAAGCCATACATAAGGAGATATTGTTCATTATCTGCAGATTATTTAATTCTTGTTTTGTAAAGTAAATTCTTTAAATCCCCTCTCTCCTTTTTTACCATATAGTTAGTATGCACAGGAAATTTTTGGGCACAATTTTTTCTATGTATAATTTTTAGAACTTTCTCTTTGATGATTTTGAAATACAGTCTTGCATTGTAACCTCGAGTAGATGATCCTCCTGCCTCAGCCTCCTAAGTGCTGAGAAATACAACTGTCCATCCACCACAGCTAGTAACTAGATTTATCGTAATTGAACTTTAAACGTGCTTCAACCAAACAATAGCTATTAATCATTATAATTTCTTAAAACTTAAGTCTTATTTTAGAACAGGTATTTTAGACTAAAGGCAGTGATTATTACTAAACACTTGAGAGTAGGATTTTTCCAACAGCTACCCAAGCATTTGTCCTTTGAAACATTTTTTCTGCTTTTTATTGGCAGTTCTTGACTTTCTAATCATTTCTATAATTATTTGTTAATTTCAAAAGTTTGATCACCAAGCAAACCATAAAACTCAGAACAAATGATGACTAGAGAATAAACTCATAAGCCAAGCCTTTGGGTACAATGGATAGCAACAGCATAGCTGTGCCACCCTTTGACTTAATGTTAACTTTATTCTCCATAAAATCATGCTTAGATTAGTATTTCTGTTGATAAATCTCCATCTTCTAAGAAATTTAAATGTTAACCTATTTTTACGTTATTTTACCAGTATAGGAAGTTTGTAGGATGGCATTATATAATTCTCAAGAAGCTGTTTTAAAGAATTATATGATACTAGCTGAAACAATCTTATCCTTGCAAAGCAGATCTGAAGAAATAGTCTCAGAAATTCAGGCTTGTTAATATTTATCCCACTTTCATTGCAAAGTGTAAGTCAGAGTGAGTTATTACCAAATCTGCCTTTCTATGTCTTTCCAATAATTTTAGCAAAAAATTATTATCCCATAATGGGTACACCTGTTTGCTTGTATATATCAGGGCTGCATATAATTTTAAAGTTAATAACAGTTCAAATAGACAAAAACTCACGTTTGTTATATTTAAGTGGTCGTTTTTCTTCCTGTTTGAATAGATTATAGAAGATTCCTTTTTAAGAAAAATACTTTGAGCACACAGAAATTTAGAATCTTATGATACCCTGTAATTATGGGAAAGGCATATAGAATATGAATAAATAAAAGAGCAGGGCATTAAATCTTGGCTTCAGATCACTGTTTCCACCACACTTATTTATTACTGCAAGTAGTTACCACTTTTTTGAATGAAGCTCACTTTCTTTACTTTGCAGGTCAGTTTCTTCTGGAAGAATCTCGCCTCACAGAAGCAGCCGAGATGGCCAAAAAGGCAGCTGAACTCGACAGCACCGAGTTTGATGTTGTCTTCAATGCTGCCCACATGCTCAGGTTAGTCTTGTGTCTATACTTTACACGAATAACGCTTTGGCTTGAAGAAAGCAGTTCATTATATTAATTTCCCTATTGCACCATCATAGACTGCATTTTAAAAATGAATCATCCTGCATAACCAGCTAAAAATTAATAAGAACTACTTCATTCATTATAATCTATGTGTCGGTTGAGCAAGGAAGATGAGCTCTTGGGGGTCAGAAAATTACCAAGATGCTCCTACCCACCTTTTCCCTTCCCTCCAAAAATTACTACAAAAGGAGAATTGCAAATGTGAATTTAATAACTGTCTACTTAATTGTCCCCCAAACACCAACATCATATCAATTAATCAAATATGTTCTTATATTTCTGTTATTATAATAAGCATTAGTGAATGTGACATGGGAATATCTTTTAATGTGTCTGACCATGGGAACAATTATCAAATACAACTATACTTAAGATACATAAAATATACCAAATGGCTCTGTAACTAGCACTATTGATGTCTAGAAGAGATATATTGTTAAACCATTAAGGCTTGCATTTCAGAAGAGTTATTTCAAAAACTAATTACAATAGCCTCAAAGACTTGAACTAATAAAGCAAGTCGACTATTTTCATTGCGAATATTAAAATAAAAAGTGGTCACTGCCTCCAAAAGAGTTGTTTTAGATGAAAGGAACTCAAAGATTCAAACTTTTTTAAAAATTTTTATTTTATTTTTTTCCAACTTTTTTATTTGAATTAGAAACAGGATTGTTTTACATGACAATCCCAGTTCCCTTCTCCCTCTCGTCCTCCCCTCCCCCCCAACTAAAACCTTATCTGTCACATATCTTTTCTGCTCCCCTTGGATGGTGAGGCCTTCCATAGGGTTTCATCAGAGTCTGTAGTATCCTTTGGGATAGGGCCTAGGCCCACCCCCATGTGTCTTGGCTCAGGGGGTATTCCTCTATATGGAATGGGCTCCCCAAGTCCACACCTATGCTAGGGATAAATACAGGGCTTCTACAAGAGTTCCCATAGATTTCTGAGGTTTCCTCACGGAAACCCATGTTCCTGGGGTCTGGATCAGTCCCATGCTATCAGACTAGGGAGCAAGAGTTCCCACATGTTCAGGTCAGCTGTTTCTGTGGGTTTCACCAGCCTGGTCTGGACCTCTGTGCTCTTCAGTGGTCCTTCTCTGCATCTGGGTTCCAGTTCAATTCAGTGATTAGTTATGGGTGTCTGCTTCTACTTCCACCAGCTGCTGGATGAAGGCTATAGGATGGCATATAAGTCAGTCATCAATCTCATAATCAG